AATTTTACTGAAGAAAAGAACTCCATTTTGAATCTGTGCATGATATATACTGCTTAGCTAAATACTCTCATCTTTATTAAGGGTCTTGGCATGACACGCATTATATTTGATTGTACATGCTCTGTAGAGTCAGCTCTTTAAGCCTGAGAACTGTGATTTTAATTATTATAATTGAAACGGAAATCCATGGATACCTTAACCTATTGCCTGCTTTGAGAACTTGTACTTAATAAATAATTGGTTGTTCACTGGAACTTTAATTGCTGTATAATTGATCTCTCTCAATTGCAAGAAGCCTGTGGTGCAAAGAGTTAACGTGCTCAGCTGTTAACCAAAAGGTTTGAAGTTCGAGTACACACAGAGGTGACTCGGAAGAAGGGCTTGGTGATCTGCTTCCAAAAAATCAGCCACTGAAAACCTCATGGAGCACAGTTCTACTCTGGCACACATGGGGTTGTTATGAGTCGAAGTTGACTCCATGGCAACTGGTTATATATTTATACATTCTTTTGGCAGGGATATTAGCCCGCCAATCACAGCAAATTCTATTACCAGTTGGATGGACTTGCATTTTTCCATTGCAAAGTCCATTTACACCAAGTTATTAAAGTTCTCTGTTATTTTCATTATCATATATATTTGCCTTTTAGAATTGGCATAGGATTTTGAGTTATATTTATAGATCATATGGCTGTTTCAGTACTTATTTTTGTGATTATCTTAAAATATGATGAGTACATTTATCTTTTCATTTAGTAGACTTATTCCCAAATAGAAAATATATTATTGTTATTGATGCTATTTGTGCAAAGATTATTTATAACTTTGTTTTGTATTTTACAAAAGAAGTGGCATTCTAAGTATTGGTGACAAAGAAAATAATTAACTTTGAAAACCCCCAGCTGCATTATCATCAAACCACTTTTGAATGATCAGATAATTTACAATCAACTAGACTTTTTCAATCCATTCCTGTATTCCAATTTCTCCATTTAAACATTCACTCATTCATTCATTAAATAAGCCTTTATAGTACACCTACTATGCGTCAGGCACTGTGCTAGATGCTGGGCCGCAGAGGTGAGTGAAACATCGCCTCCATCCTCAAGAAATTGACTTCATTGATTTGGTTAGGGGTGCAGGTGGAAATGACCAGTGGTATAGCTTATGAGCCAGGCGGCAAAAACATAGAGCAATTTCACATTTTTTGAATGGGGAAAAAAAATGCATGGAAACCACAAATCTTTGGCTAGAATAAAGCAAGTTCGTTTCTTCTCCTTTTCCCAAGAAGAGGATCTGGGAAGGTGTCTTCCTTCTCTTGCAAGAAAAACCAGGGTGGGAAATATTGCAATGAATCCCAGACAGGACAGACACAGGGCCAGCAGGAGAAGCCTCCTGGGAAAAGCCAGGGCACCAAAAAGTTGAGTACGACTTCTTACTAAAGAAGACAGAAGCAGGTGATGAGGCCCTCTTGAAAACCACAACTGCATAAGTGAGGCTGGCAGTGGGGATAGGAAACAAGGACAAATCAGATGAAGGCAAACATGTCAATGATGCCTGCAGAAAGGAAACAACCAAGAAATAACCTAATTGTGTTTCAAGGGCACAGATAGCAAGATGTAGATCCGGGCCAACTTTGGGGCTTGACCTAAATGACTATGAGGCTTGAGAAGCTACCCCATCGCAGAACAAATGACCAGTCTTTGAAGGACTTCTCAGTGTGCAGTACAACTGGATGGGTCCAGGTGACAGCAGAGTGCAGGAGGCAAGGGCTCCTGGGAGGGGAGGGTGGACCTTAGATAAGAGAACAACTGCTGGGATGCTTAGTCCTGTAGTGTGTACCCTACAAATGCACGGCTCTGTCACTCTGATCTAGTGAGGCTTGCACCAGTACCCACAGAACCTTCCATTGAACTCTGAGTTTCCTAAACTGGGGAGCCTATCCCAGGTATAAAAATGTTTCACTGCTTTCCCACCACCTCCTGGGCCACTTACGCCATGCACATCCATGGGCTCAGGCCTCTTAAATTAACAGAGACCATGAAATCCTTGGCTGTGGCAAACTCTGCAAAAAATCGGGCTCACATCACAAGTCTCTGGTTATTGACAATTTCACCTTCCTTGAATATCCTCCTTTGTTTCATACTTTGAGCCTGTTGTTAAATATGTGTTTGTACTTAGTCTATGTCTTGACTTCCTGCATTGTTGTTGTTGTCATCTGCTGTAGAGCTGGCCCTTGACTCAAGGCCACCCCATGCACAATGGAACGACACTGCCCAGCCCTGCACCGTCTCCATGATCGATTGTGGATCAGACTGTTGTGATCCACTGGGTTTTCATTGACTTCCTAGATTCCTGATCTCAAAACACTGAATATTTTTATTGAACACTGAATACTGAACATTAAATATTTTTTGGATGATCCAGAATTAGGGGTCACATGAGGTCATTTGCTGTTTCAGAGTGGTCAGAGTGATACCGAGCAAATCCCCACCTGGACTCCAAGGCAGTGGGACCTGGTCAGAAAGCAAAGGTACCCATCTGGGGGACTACAGCACCTGAGGGAAGACCACAGGCCACAAGAGAGGACCAGACCAAGGGCTTCAGCTTCTGTAACCAGAGCTGTAAGAATCCACTTCTTAGGGAGGGAAGTGGTGTCTCTAGGAGGTCCTCCTGGAAAAATGCACCCTACCCTAGGACTTGGAGATTGTTTGCTGATGAGATTAAGGTGCCTTCTTGGCAACATGAGGGGGTGACCAGCCTGATCCCAGAAATGTAATTCTTGGAAACCGTACAGCACATTTGTGGATTCAACTAATAAGATATTGGGATAACAGCTGAAAATAGAAGGTAGCTGTTCCCATACAGTGGAGCCTTCATGGTGCAGTGGTTAAGAGCTATGGCTGCTAACTGAAAGGTTGGCAGTTGGAATCCACCAGCTGACCCTTGGAAATCCTGTGGGGCAGTTCTACTTCGTCCTATAGGGTCTACTCTGTCCTATAATGTTGCTATGAGTTGGAATCGACTCAGTGGCAATGGGTTTGGTTTTGTTTTTTTGGTTCCATTAGAAGCAATGAAAAGCAAAGAGTATGAACTTACTAATGTACCGTCAACACTGAAGAAGCAAAGGGGTCCTAACTAAGGTAATATTCTGAGCCATTTGACAAGTACAGTGAAAACTATGAGAGCCAGAACTCGACAGGATTGCCTTGTTTTTCTGGGTCTCAAAAGTTTTCTGCCTTTGACAGGGTGCAGTCTTACCACTTTTCTATTACTCTCTATTAGTGGATTGAATTTTCCTTCTCTGACAGGTTTCTGTCTCACACAGATTCTGGCTTTTATAGGTTTACTACATGTCCTAAAGGCTGAGAGATATTTATGAGGCTGCCACAGTTTTACTACTTTATTCAGTGAGTATCTACTATATGCTAGGCACTATGCAAAGTGACTACAGTTAAATGGAAAAATAACAGGACCCCCTGCTAAAGATTTGCATTTCCCCCAAGGATGGACTGAATTAGAATCCACATTTTAACAAGATCCCCAAGTGATTCTTATGTATAATGCAAATTCTCAGCAGAGGGTTGAACCAAAATGAACTGATTCGAAGTCCTGAAAAATAAGGCAGATGCCTTGCCTTTGTGGCGCTCATAGCCTTTCAGGAAAGAAAAGTATCTGAGTAAATAATTTCAATAACCTAAAAAACCAAACTGATGGCCATCGAGTAGATTCCGCCTCATAGCGACCCTATAGGACAGAGTAGAACTGCATCATAGGGTTTCCAAGGAGCGGCTGGTGGGTTCAAACTGCTGACCTTTTGGTTAGCAGCCGAGCTCTTAACCACTGTGCCACCAGGGCTTCAATAATTTCAGTACTATGGGTTAAATGCCTTAGTTTAAAATGTTATAGAAGCCCAAAGGAGGGAGTGTGATCTTCCAGGAAGGATCAGGGAAGACTTCCCATGGGTCACTGACCCTTGAAAAATAAGAAGGATCTATCCATCAAGCTAGCCAGACCTCCACTCATTCGTTCATTCATTCATCACATATATGTTGAGTACTCTGACTGTTCTAGATGGTGTGGGTAGGACATTGAACAAGACAGACAAGATCTTTACTCTCATGAAGTTTACTTTCTGGTGGAGTGGTCAAGATGACCGGGGGAAATACAGAATGGTTCCTTAAGACAGTCCAACGTCTGCCTTCTGGCCTCATTCCTCTCCCACATGTATTTTCCTACTGAGAATGGAGTGCCTTGACCACTCGACCCAGAGCATTTTGATTCTTTCGGTAAGCATAGCTCCCATCACGGAACTAAAATACCAGCTTATTATTTGCCATCACAATGGAATAGCCCAGGGGGGCATGGTCAGATAAAATCAATTTCTGAAAACGCAGAGCTAAGAACCAACCTCAAGCAGAAATGGAAGAAGTGAGAATAAGATCCCCGTCTTAGTCATCTAGTGCTGCTAAAACAGAAATATCACAATTGGATGGCTTCAACAAACGGAAGTTTATTCTCTCACAGTCTACTAGGTTGGAAGTCCAAATTCAGGGCATCAGCTCCAGGGGAAGGCTTTCTCTCTCTGTTGGCTCTGGAGGAAGGTCCTTGTCATCAATATTCCCTGGACTAGGAGCTTCTCAGTGCAGGGACCCTGGGTCCAAAGGTTGAGCTCTTCTCCTGGCACTACTTTCTTGGTGGTATGAGGTTCCCATGTCTCTCTGCTCACTTCTCTTTTATATCTTAAAAGAGATGGGCTTAAGACACAACCTGATCTTGTAGATTGAGTCCTGCCTCATTAAAGTAACTGCCTCTAATCCTGTCTCATTAACATCATAGAGATAGGATTTACAACACATAGGAAAATCATATCAGATGACAAAATGGTGGACAATCACACAACACTGGGAATCATGGCCTAGCCAAATTCATACACGTATTTTTTGGGAACACAATTCAATCCATGACAGACCCGCTGGCCCAATCTGAGACAACCTTACCTTATTTTACCAGCCAGGATCTTTTCTGCCAGTGGAATAGCTAGTCCTCATTTCCAGGAAAAATGTGTGGGAGAACAGCTAGAGCCTCTTTACAAATCCTAGGAAGAACTTCCAAACTCCGCATCTCACAGCAGTAACCCACAGGACATGCTCTAGGACCCTGAGCATATGGTTCTGAAGGCCCCTTGGGCAGGTGACTTCTGCCAGTGTCGCGCTGTGGTTCACGGTGCAGAGAACTGCAGGACCATGCAGAAACCGAGGACTCTCTGCGGCGGCCACTTCCTGAAAGAATACTCAGCGCCTTCTGTCCAAGAAGGAAGTGGAGGAACCCTGGGCCCAGCCTTCCTTCTGCACACAGGGGTCCCTCTGCCAAGAAGTACCTGCCCTCCACACCCCTTCTGGGGTTAAAACTCACTTCCTGATGTTTAAAAGGGACAAGGGAAAGTGTCGCTACAGAAGGTTGAAAAGTTTTCTTCACCCTAAGATTATAAGTGGAAAATTCAAACCACTGGAAACCCATGGTTTCAAACTAGACTAGCCTTCAAAGATCTTAAATTATGTCTCTAGAAGTGACCACAATTTCAACAGAGGAAAGAGGAAGGCAGTTAGAAGCTTCTGCAGGACGCAGTTGGTGCCATTCTGAAAATTCGTGCTTCTTATTTGCCAAGAGGTCTGCCTTAAATTCCTCAAGTTGCTAATTACATTGCAAGTATTGCTGTTGTTTTAGTTTCTGCCAAGTTGGCTCCAACTCATGGAGACCTTCTGTATAATAGAACTAAACATTGCCCAGTCCTGCACCAAATTCACGGTCTTCGATGTGTTTGAGCCCATTGCAACAGCCACCATGTCAATCCATCTCGTTGAGGATTTCCCTCGTTTCACTGACCCTCTACCAAACATGGTGTGCTTTTCCAGCAATTGGTCTTTCCTGATGACATGTCCAAAGTAAGTGAGCCATAGTCTCACCATCCTCCCTTCTAAGGAGCAATCTGGTTGTAATTCTGGTGCAAGTGTTAGATATCTGCTTTCCCTCATATTTATAGCTTTTGTTTCTTTTTTAATTAACTTAAGTAATATGTGTTTGTTTTCAAAAATTTAAAATACAGATAAATACAAACCAAAAAAAAAAAAAAAAACCCTTTGCCATTGAGTTAATTCCGACTCACAGTGACCCTATAGACAGAGTAGAACTGCCGCATAGGGTTTCCAAGGAACAACTGGTGGATTTGAACTGCTGACCTTTTGGTTAGCAGGCATGCTCTTAACCACTCTACCACCAGGTCTCCAAATACAGGTAAGGATGAAAAAAAGAAAAATTCCCCATATTTCCACTGCTTGAAGAAAACCACTGTTGACACATTTGGGGACATCCTTCCAGTCTTTTTTCTGTGGTGAGGTGGATATCAGAATGAGCTTCTCAACACCCACCTCAACCCACACCATTGTGGAGCATCCTTGCAGCTCTGGTGGGATTTACCCCATCCCCTGTATGGGCCCTGATTTGACTAAACTAAATTACTACAATAATTTCATGCTCTTGACACAGTGTTTATTTTAGGGACAAGCACACAACCCAGACCAAAGCCAATCAATGCATGACATTCCCCTGGCCCCAGGGAGGCACATGATCAAGATGGTCCAATCAGAGGGAAGCCTAGGACTCCTGCTCAATGCCGTGGAAGAGGCACTCACAGGTCTCTGGGTTTGGACAAAGTGGTGCTATGATCTGTTGGCAGCCATCTTGCAACCACAGAGGAGCCAGCCTTGGGTGAAGTGGATGCTACAGAAGGCAAAAAAAAAAAGAGATAGAAAAGAAACTAGGTCCTTAAAGAACTGTCTGAGCTGCTAAATTAAGCTAACACCTAAACCTGTTATCCTTCTGGAGTTTCTCGTTACATGAACCTATAAAGTTGCTTGTTGAAGCCACCTTAAGTTGAGTTTTCTATTACTTGTAACTGAATGCATCCTAAATGAAGCAAGTAGATATTTTTATAAAAATGAGTCTATATTGTATATATTATTTATAGCTTTCTGTTTAAAAATATAGGGTTGCTAAGAGTCGGAATCGATTCGACAGCAATGGGTTTGGTTCATAAATATCCTTTTTGAGAAGGATATTTTGATGCATTTTTAAAGAAAATACACACACTTTTATAAAATAAATCCACTTTTATAAAATTATTCATTGCTACAGAGTATCCATTGTATGGAAGACTATGAATTGCTCATCCAATACCCTATTGTTAGACATTTACTTTCTTTCCTGTTTTTCCCATATTATATAGAAACAATTCTGTGCTGAGTCTCCTAAATATTGGGGGACATCCTTATTTCCTTAGGGCACATTCGTAATGTAGAATTTCTAGGTCAGAGTATTCACGTGGCTAAAGAATTTTTATTCATATTGCCAAACTGTGCTCCAGAAAAGTTGTTTCCATTGTATTCTGACAGCAGTGCATGAGAATACCCAACAACACTCCGCCCTCCCAGCCCAGAACTCTCCACACACCCGGTGCTACAAGTTTAAAGTCTCTGCCTAGGTGATAAATGATATCCAGTTGCTGTTTAATTTACATTAAAAAAAAAAAAAAAAACTACATAGAGTACTTTTGGCAGCCTAGAGCTCTTAACCGCTGTGCCACCAGGGCTCCACAGAATACTTACAGTGCTTATTTTTTATACATTTATTTGCTTATTGCTGTTGTTAGTAGCTGCTGTCAAGCAGGCCCCGACTCATAGTGACCTCATGCACAATGGAAGGAAATGCTTCCAGTCATGCATCATTCCCATGACTGGTTTTGGATAGGGCTATTGTGATCTGCTAGGCCTTTCTTCCTAGTCCTTCTTAGTCTGGAAGCTCTTCTGAAAACTATTTAGCATCATAGCAACACACAAGCCTCCACTGACAGACAAGTGCATTGACATGGAATCGAACCTGGGTCTCCCACATGGAAGGTGACAATTCTAACACTGAACCACCACTGCCCACCTTGCTTATTGTATGTATCCTTTTCTGAATTGTCACTGACATCCTCTGCCCACTTTTAATTAACGTATTTGTTTATTTCTTACAGGTTTGTAAGAGTTCTTAATCTATTAGTATTATTAAATACTTGTCTGCTTTATGCATTGCAGGCCAAAGATACAGAAATTGAAGATTTTTACCAACTTCTGCAGTCTGAAATTGATCAAAAATGAAATCAAGATGCATTGATAAATACTGGTGTATAGAATGCAAAAGTTGTAAACAAAGAAGGACTGGTAGTTGGAAAATATGGCCTTGGTGGTAGAAACAATGCTGGAGATCGCCTGATAGAATTTTGCCAGACCAATGACTTCTTCATTGCAAATACCTTTTTTCAAGAACATAAACAGCAACTATACACATGGACCTTACCAGATGGAATACACAGAAATCAAATCGACTACATCTGTGGAAACAGAAGATGGAAAAGCTCAATTTCATCAGTCAGAACAAGGACGAGGCCAACTGTGGAAGAGACAATCAATTGCTCATATGCAAGTTCAAACTGAAGCTGAAGAAAATTAAAACAAGTTCAGGAAAGCCAAAGTATGACCTTGAGTATATCCTGCCTGAATTTAGAGACCATCTCAAGAATAGATTTGACGCGTCAAACACGAATGACCAAAGACCAGATGAGCTGTGGAATGACATCAAGGAAATCATACGTGAAGAAAGCAAGAGGTCATGCAAAGACAGGAAAGAAAGAAAAGACCAAAATGAATGTCAGAAAAGACTCTGAAAGTTGCTCTTCAGCATAGAGCAGCTAAAGCGAAAGGAAGAAATGATGAAGTAAAAGCGCTCAACAGAAGCTTTCAAAGGGCAGCTCGAGAAGACAAAGTAAAGTATTATAATAACGTGCCAAGATCTGGAGTTAGAAAACAAAAAGGGAAGAATACTGTCGGCATTTCTCAACCTGAAAGAACTGAAGGAAAAATTCATGCTTCAAGTTGCAATATTGAAAGATTCTATGGAGAAAATATTAAACAATGCAGGAAGCCTCATAAGAAGATGGAAGGAATACACAGAGTCACTGTACCAAAAACAATTGGTTGACATTCAACCATTTCAGAAGGTAACATATAATCAAGAACCGATGGTACTTAAGGACGAGGTCCAAGCTGCACTGAAAGCATCGGTGAAAAATAGGGCTCTAGGAATTGACGGAATACCAACTGAGATGTTTCAACAAATGGATGCAGTGCTGGAGGTGCTCACTTGTCTATGCCAAGAAATTTGGAAGAAAGCTACCTGGCCAACCGACTGGAAGAGATCCTTATGTGTACCCATTCCAAAGAAATGAGATCCAACAGAATGCAGAAATTATTGAAAAATATCATTAATATCACATACAAGTAAAATTTTGCTGAAGATCATTCAAAAGCAGTTGCAGCAGTACATCAGCAAGGAACTGTCAGAAATTCAAGCTGCATTCAGAAGAGTACATGGACCAAGGTATATTATTGCTGATGTCAGATGGATCTTCACTGAAAGCAGAGAATACCAGAAAGATGTTTATCTGTGTTTTACTGACTATGCAAAGGCATTCGACTGTGTGGATGCTAACAGATTATGAATAACATTGCGAAGTACAGGAATTCCAGAAGACTTAATTGTGCTCATGCAGAACCTACACATAAACCACCAGGCAGTCGTTCAAACAAAACAAGGGGATACTGCATGGTTTAAAGTTAGGAAGGGTGTGTGTCAGGGTTATAGTCTTTCACCATACTTATTCAACCTCTATGCTGAGCAACTAATCCGAGAAGGTGGACTGTATGAAGAAGAACTCGGCATCAGGATTGGAGGAAGACTCATTAACAACCTGCGATAGGCAGATGACACAGCCTTACTTGCTGAAAGCAAAGAGGACTTGTCTGACAAAGATCAAAGACCACAGCCTTCAGTATGGATTACACCTCAACATAAAGAAAATAAAAATCCTCACAACTGGACCAATAAGCAACACCATGATAAACAGAGAAAAGATTGAAGTTGTCAAGAATTTCATTTTACTTGGATCCACAATCAACACCCATGAAAAGCAGCAGTCAAGAAATCAGATGATGCATTGCATTGGGCAAATCTGCTGCAAAAGACCTCTTTA